AAGAGCCTCAAGCTGTCCCCCTGGGTAGAGTGCCGTGGCATAGCTCACAGCAACCTCCAACTCCTGGGCTCAAGCGAGTCTTCTGCCTCAACCTCCCAAGTAGCTGGGACCACAGGCACCCACCACAATGCCTGGCTATTTTTTTTGGTTGCAGCCATCATTGTTGTTTGGCGGGCCCAGGCTGGATTCGAACCCACCACCTTAAGTGTATGTGGCTGGCACCTTAGCCACTCAAGCCACAGGCGCCGAGCCAACAAGGTCTTTTGAGGACTGAGTCCACACAGGAAACCTGTGGCCTTCCCAGTCCTTAGTGCGGCCTTGTAACTGAATCCAAATTTTACTTAACAAATCCTTTTATTAAAAGGGGCACAGCAGGGCAGCACCTGTGGCTCAGTGAGTAGGGCGCCAGCCCCATATACCGAGGATGGTGGGGTTGGAACCCAGCCCAGCCAAACTGCAACAAAAAAAATAGCCAGGTGTTGTAGTGGGCGCCTGTAGTCCCAGCTACTCGGGAGGCTGAGGCAAGAGAATCACCTAAGCCCAAGGAGTTGGAGTTTGCTGTGAGCTGTGATGCCATGGGACTCTACTGAGGGTTAATAAGTGAAATTGTCTCAAAAAAAAAAAAAAAAAGGTGGGGGGGACGGCACAGCAGAGAAAGAGGAAACTTTTCTTTTTTTTGAGATAGTCATTTTGTCACCTTTGGTAGAGTACCATGGCATCAAGGCTTACAGCAACCTCAAACTCTTAGGCTCAGGCAATTCTCTTGCCTCAGCCTCTCAATTAGCTGAGACTACAGGTGCCTGCCACAATGCCCAGCTTTTTTTTTTTTTTTTTTAAGAGAGGAGGTCTTGCTCTGGCTCAGGCTGATCTCCAACCTGTGAGCTCAGGCAATCCACCCACCTTGGCCTCCCAGAGTGCTAGGATTATAACCCTGAGCCACCGTGCCTGGCCTAGATGAAACCTTCCTTGCCTCCTTTGGTGCTTGAAATCAGAGTGCCACAGGTTCCCCACCCTTCATCCAACTATTGACCGCAGGTGGCTCATTGCCATACTAGGGCTTATGAACTGTACAATTCTAGGCCACTTAACTTTCCCTGCTGTTAGATCTGGGGTGAGCCCCACTATCTCTGACCACTGAAGATCTGATGCTCCCACTAAAGCAGCTTCCTTATAGGAATGGAACACCCATCACAGGAGTGGACACATGGAAGCACCAGGAACAGTACAGAACGGAAGTTCTCCCTCAAGGATCTTTACTGATGACTTGGAAAAGCAGATGCAGAACACTGGATGCTATCCCATTTCTTTATTAGGTCTTATTATGTTCCCCAAGCTGGTCTTGGACCCAAAACATTGGGACTACAAGCATGAGCCACTGTGCCCCAGCTTTTACCTTCTTTGAGGGAAGTACACATTCATATTTGCTTGCTCTTGTGTGAGGGAACATTGGAAAGATGAATAAGCAGTAACACCTGAGTCACTACAGAGGGTGGATGGAAAACACTTAACAAAGGAGTCCTTGCATCACCCTGGGACACCCGCCCCAACACATGCACTCTCCCTTACACCTTGGGCAGGCTTTCAGCACAGCAGTAGGCAGAATGTGTTCCTCGCCAGGGCAGCAGACACTGCTGTCTGGAGGAGACAGGCTGTTCCTCCATCTGCACTATCTTGACTAATCTGAACTGAGCCGACTATAAACTTGCCTTGTTTGTTCGGCACTCAAGGGACTCCAGGCACCCACCCCTGCTTCCCATGGTCCCTCATTTGTAGAACAAGATGCCTTCAAAGGGCTACTATGAGCACGGGGTGAAAGAGCCCCTTTGAGGCTTGGCACCTGTAGCTCAGCAGCTACGGCACTGGCCACATACACCAGGGCTGGTGGGTTTGAACCTGGCCCAGGCCTGTCAAACAATGATAACTACAACAAAAGAATAGCCAGGTGTTTTGGCAGGTGCCTATAGTCCCAGCTACTTGGGCGGCTGAGGCAAGAGAATTGCTTATGCCCAAGAGTTTGAGGTTGCTGTGAGCTATGATGCCACGGCACTCTACCGAGGGTGACATAGTGAGACTGTCTCAAAAAAAAAAAAAAAGCCCCTTTGAAAGTCCTAGGAATGGGACCCTCTTGTTTCCAATGCCCACTACACCCCCACAGTGGGCTCACTACCCCTGGGTGTGACCCTGCCTCACTCCTACCTACACAGAATAGACAGCACAGGGCCTTCCCAATGCCCAAGGCTGCACACTGCATCAGCTCAATTACAACTGAAGCTAAATGCCCACAGGGACCCAGAGTAGGGCAGCCCTGTATAAGCGAAAAGAATATGTCTTTGCCTCTGCCATTTCTGAGAGTGAGCATGTACAAATCTTCCTTGGCACGATTCAGGAGAGACTGAGGCAGAACTCCATTTGGCTTGGCACCAAGAAGGTAAAATTCCTGTGCTCAGGCCAGGAGGCTGGGGTGTGAAGGCGTGTCACTGGCATGTCACCAGGATCTCCAAATTGTGGTTTTGTAAGGTTAAGATACTGCCTCCAGATGGCTTGAGGCTGCAAAGAGTAGAACAATCAGCCTTTTTTCCCCTTAGCAGTTTCCATATCTATCAAAAAGTGGGCCAGGGAGTTAACAGTCTGCTTCTTCATGGCTACTATTTTGAGTATAATAGATAACTTAGAAGAATGTGTCTCACTAAAAAAGTTAGTCTGGGGCAGTGCCTGTGGCTCAAAAGGGTAGGGTGTCAGTCCCATATGGCGGAGGTGGTGGGTTCAAACCCAGCCCCAGCCAAAAACTGCAAAAGAAAAAAAAAAGTCTGCTTTTTACAATATATTAGTGAGGTAATGGTATGAATATTCTTTAACAACATGTACATGCAGCACCTGCTATTTAAGCTGGGAAGAAATAAACATTTTTGCTATCTGCCATAAGTGTGGTAGCCACCCTTTATTATATACAATTTCTTTTTTTTTTTTTTTGAGACAGAGCCTCAAGCTATCCCCCTGGGCAGAGTGCTCTGGCAACACAGCTCACAGCAACCTCCAACTCCTGGGTTCAAGCGAGTCTCCTGCCTCAGCCTCCCAAGTAGCTGGGACCACAGGCACCCACCACAACACCCGGCTATTTTTTGGTTGCAGCCATCATTGTTGTTTGGCAGCCTGGGCTGGATTCGAACCCGCCACCTTAGGTGTATGTGGCTGGCGCCTTAGCCCCTTGAGCCATAGGCGCGGAGCCTATTATATACAATTTCAAAGCAAATCTATACCTTGTGTCACCAACCACTCACAAGAAACTTCATGTAACAGCCCTGACTCTGGCTGACAAGCATTCCCAACAGCCCATCCACCCTGTAACCTGGTAAGCTCCTCCTCAGAGGTGTTGGGTCTGTCCCCATATTTGTCACCAATGTATTAACTTGCTCCATTTACCTTCCTGGCATTGAATCGCATGGGGACCTCTTATGTCATAGTCCTGAAAGACAACACCACACAAGGGGAGGAGGATTTTGCCCAAAAGAATGCTTTATTGACAAGTTACCCATTATTCACGTTAAGAAGATACATCAGCTCCCACCTCTACAACTGCTGCCTCATCACTGCACCCCACACCCTGCAAGGGCCCCAAGCAGCACTCTTCCTGGGCCCCTGCACTCTTGTCATCTGTATTTGTCTTCCCAGGGCTGTCTGAGATGGCCCAGGCCATTTAGTTACCAGAGGACACCCAGCATCAGCCCAGCATCTCTCCTGTCCAGGGACTGCTCAGCCTGTAGAGAGGGCAAGGCCTCAGTGCCCTGCTAAGAGCCACCAAGGCACAGAGTTATCCCTGCAGACCACACCTCCTGACATGCAGGGCCCTGATACGAGAAAGGCTGTGGTTGGGACAATTTAAAAACAAGAAAGAGATCTTTGTAGCTCTTGAGAAAAGCTGACAGCAGAGTCCTGGCTCATCTAACACCCACCCTGATCCAACCTGTGGGGTCCATTCTGCTTTTCATTACTCTACATGGAGTGACCAGGCAGGCTGGAGCCACTGGCTAGCACACAGGCAGCTCTGTGAAGGGGGCTCACCTCTCCCAAAGATGGGGGCTTTTCCTGGGGGCCCTTCAGGGCAGGGTAGGGAGCCAGTAGGAGCTGCCACTGGGGTGGAGCGTTAGGGAAATAAAGCATACCAATTGGGCCAGGCAGCTGCCGGGCAGGCTAAACATAAAATTGTATATGGTACTCACAGCCTATTAAAGAACCTTTATTTTTATGTATTAAAAAATCAAAGAGGCTTGGCACCTATAGCTCAACCGGCTAAGGCGCCAGCCACGTACACCTAAGGTGGCGGGTTCGAATCCCCAGCCCGGACCC